ATGCAGAAAGAACTCCTATGAAACGACAGAACTACTATGTGCTATTTGTAACCTAGCGCATAAATTAGCCTCTGCATTTGATGCCTGGAGGAGACCTAATGTAATGACCATTTTTTTAAAAAGCTCCAGAAGCGATCCTGTCAATTACAGGCCAGTAAGCCTAATCTGGCAAACGGGTTGCAACTCCAGTAAAGAGCAGAATGATCAGACACAAGGTAAAAACGATTTGCTGGGACGGAGTCAACACATGTTTTAAAAAGCGAAATGTCTCCCCAATCTATTAGATATTTTGAGGGGAAACAACAAACGTGAACCAGGATGATCCAGTAGATATAGGCTACGACTAAACTACGATCCTCATGCGGAAGAGCAAATGCAAATGGAGCACTCATTTGCATATGTCGCACTCTCATTTGCATTTCCTCTTCCTTTCCCTTTTGCGCAACAGGTTTTTGCGCAAAAAAGCGCTGTGCGGACGGCGCCTTTTTGCGCAAAAACCCCCTTTTGCGCAAGAGCCGTTCTTCCTCATTTTTTGCTCTTCCTCAAGAGGATCGTAGTTTAGACGTCGCCATAGTGTACTTGGACTGCCAGAAAGCCCTTAACAATATCCCTCATTAAAGGCTCTTAAGCAGAGTAAGTTGTTCTAGGATAAGAGGGAAGATCCTCCCATGGATCGATAACCGGTTAAAAGACAGGAAACAAAGCTAGGAAACAGCTTCAGTACGAGAGATTAGTTTAGAAAAGAGATGAGTGAGGTGGGCTATGTAGAGTTCTATACACTCATACAGGATGCGAAGAAAGTGAATAAGAAAGTGTTATTTACCGCTTCCCGTAACACAAGGAATGACCAGGGAGCAGGTTTAAAACACACACAAGGAAGTACTTCTTCCCACCCCACACTGACAGACTGTGGAACTCCTCGCCAGGGGATGCCTGCGAAGGCCAAAGTATAGCTGGGCTTAAAAACAATGAGATCCATTCATGGATGATTGGCCTCACAATGGCTATTAGCCAGCACGGTGAGGAGTGTAGCCCCCGTAGCCTCTGACTGCCAGAGGGTGGGAGCGGATGACAGGGAATGGATCACTAAGTTATTGCCCGGTTTAGTCCTTTCTCTCTCACATCTGGCATCGGCCACCTTTGGAAGACAGGCTACGGGGCTTGCTGGGGCTACGGGGAAGAGGAGTACAAGGGGAGTGCTCCGTCATTCATAGTCTTTGTCTCCAAGTTCTTCCTCACCCTAGATCTAAGGGCCAGGCAGAAATTTCTGAGGGACACGTAACTCAGCAAGGCAGAAAATTCAGTCAGAATGGCTGCCCGGGCAGCCTCCTGGCAAGAAAGGCAGCGTCCAAGGGAGGCGAGGCTTGCCAGCAGAGAGGGTGAGGAACAAGGCTAAGCCTCTCCACGGCTCAGCTAAAAGAATCTAAACTAAAGGATCTACAACTGAACGAGGCGCTGGGAGGGAATCACACGAGAGCTCCCGCTCAGGCTGAGGCGGCTGAGGAGGCTCTGAGGGCGGGTCGCTCGTGCGGCTCTAGAGTCTCGGAGTCAGGCCTGAGGCAGGGCGCACAGAGACGCCGAACAGCTCGGCTCCGAGGCCCACAGGCTGCCGGCCCACCCGAAGCGCAGCACCCACAGGGACACGGCTCGACAGACTGCCATGTTCTCCGGTTAGGGCAGCCTCCAAGAGTCCATGCCGCAATCCAGGCATGTCCACTCGGCTCCCTCCAGCACGGCGTCCCTTCACCGTGGCGCACAGGCCGTGCTCCGCCCCAGATGGGAGGGCAGGAGCGGGGTGCAGTCTGCCCAGGGCCCCACAGCGGCGACTCCCGGCCCCTGGATTCATTGCGCTCAGCTCGGCTGCACCGAGGGGTGTAGAGGGCAGCGGTGACAGCCTCAGGCACTGGACAGCACAGGGGCCACGGACCCACAGCGGTTCCCAGGAAGAAGGCTGGCCCAGGCCGGTGACGTACCTTCTCCGGTTTGGCTGGGCGCGCTAGGGCGCTCCGACTGGCGCTGCTGGCCACCGCGGGAGGCTGAGAAGGGACACAGAGAAATTATTGGCTTCCCATCCCTGAGGAGGTGAGCAGGACCCAAAGCGACCCAGCGGCGTCCTACCCCAGGAGGCACATCCCCCACTCCCATGCCCCAAATGGAGAGGGGCTTGCCCCAACTGGCCATGACCCATGCCCACCGAAGGGAGACACCCTCCCCGTCCTGCCAGGGCCCAGCCCAGCCTGCCCTGAGCGAGGGGAGGGGCCGACCCCACACACCCAGCTACTCAGGCCGAGGAGCCGCCAGCCCAGGGCAGAGCAGGGCCCCTCCAC